AGCTAAATCCCCAGCCCCGATATTACTCATCTGTTGTATCTCTCTCTCCCAGGACACCCTTCCTATCGTATCTAGTTTAAATTCCACTGTTTTGTGAAAGTCTTTCCTGATGATCCTAGTCTTCACGATTTCTTCCACCTTCTAAGTCCAATTATTTCTGAATACTGATTTATGTGATAATCTATACAGGTCACAAAAAGATATACCTATTCACAGAGGATGTTAACCCAAACGCTTGTCAATTACATTACAAAATAAATTAAAATCACATAAAGTATAGCTTTTTGGCACATGTTGCAGAAAACCAGAAGATTTTTGTAAGAGACTCAAATTCCAACAGGGCAAAAATCAGCTGAGCACCAAGTTTCAAGCACCCACCAGCTCTTTCCATTCTAAATACATAGGTTCTCTTTTGACATTCTCAAATTTCTGCCATTTACATTTCTTATGGTTATGTAACTTTTCTTGGGTGCTTTTTTGGGGGGGAGGGTCTCTCCTAACAGAATATAGCCCTCAGAAGGGCATTCTTAAAAAAAAAAAAAAAAAAAAATCCTATTTCCCTGAATGCAAAACAGTAGCATTTATTATATAAAAGAATAATCTGGACAGCCCGACATGGTAGCATATGCCTGTAATCACAACACTCCCACGGGGGAGGCAGGAGGATTATAAATTCCAGCCCAGAGTGAGCAATTTAGTGAGACCCTCTCTCAAAATTAAAAAAAAAAAAGGGGTGGGGTGGGATGTAGCTCAGTGCAAAGGTCTTCGCAGTGCAATTCCCACTACTGGAAAAACACAAATTCTCTGGACATTGTAAACGACCCCCAAATGTTTTAGTTCCAGAAATTTTTGGTTTTCTACCAACTTGGAAAAGTTTTACTGGTTTGTTATTTCTGTTTTCCAAAAATGCATGCATTAGAATACAACTCTTAAGAAAGGTAAAAGAAAATTTATCTTATTGTTTTGGCTTAGATTGTCTTTCACTTTTCAATGAGAAATACCGATTTGCAGACAATACGTCCTCTGCGGGGAGAAATCCAGCCCTTGCCAGGCACACTATTTGACAGGACTGCTGGTAGGACTCCACTTCCACATCCTGGATTCTATCCCACCGCACCCCTCAAGCAGAGTTACTTTCACTCTGGCAAACGCCCGTGCCTCGCTTCCACCTGGCCCCTGGTTTCCACCTGGCCCTCCCGTTAACCCCTCGACAAACTTGGCGGTGCCAATGGACGCACCTTGCCAAAGTTCACTTCCTTGTGGCAGGAAGGCAAGGTCTCAGACCCGCCCAAGATGAAGCGAATTTTAAGACGCTTACAAGGCCATTCTTTTTATGAGAAAAAAAAATAAACTTTCCTTTGGAATCCATCTGCCGATTCCCGCCTGCCCACACACATCACGAACCGAGCAACATCATCCAATTCACTAACATTCTCATTTGCCTCCCTTCCCCTAGGCCTCCAGGGGGCGCCCCCGACGCCCTGGCTGACCCCAGCCGCGCAAACCAGGACGCTCCAGCCTCGACTCAAGACGCCGCGCGCACCCCCGCCCCACACTCACCCTCCCGGGCCGCGGAAGTGCCGCCCGCCCCTTCCGCCCGGTCCGCCCCGCCCCTTCCGGCGGGCTCTGGCGCGCAGGCGCACCGCGAGGGATGACTAAAGGTGGCGGCTGGTGTAGCGGTAGAGGACCGAGGGCCGCGCGGCGCGGGGCGGGGCCGAAGTGGTGGCGACGTGGCCGCCGAGTTCCGGCGTGCGGCGGCGGGTGCGTGAGCGCAGGGGAGTCCGGACCTGGTTCAGGCCTCTGGGGACTTGTCCAGGGAGGGGACCGAGGGAGGGTAGGGGTAGGTGTACGTCGCTTACGTAGCTTTTGCCTCTCGCGGTCCAAGTGAGCCTCTGTCTCCGGTCTTCCAGGGGGACGCGCGTCCCCTCCGGCCTGGCCCCTTCGCGCGGCTCCGGTCCCCAGCGGCCGAGTCACCCCCAACCCCTCTCCCGTTCCTGGGAGCTCAGAATACAGTGTAGAGGGGCAGAACACGTAACGTTTGAGCGACTGCTGGAAAGTTCCTCCCACCCTGCGGTGTGCAACCTGTTGGAATAAAAGCTCAACTTTCTGCCGAGTTATGATGCTTTGAAAACATGGCGTGCTTGTGAATGATTGAGTTTTTCTTTTCACATTCACCCTTTCACATTGATTAGTATTTCTTACCACGCACCAAACGCAAGGACGTACTCTCCCCGCCGCCGCAGCGATGCCCTGGGGAAGTCACCCGAGGGGGAAAGGCTCTGGCCTGAAATGGAGGTGAAAAATGAACACACATGTTTGCGCCCTCACTGCGGGGCGGAATGGTAACTGAGTTTTAAAAAAATCAGATGATGTGATAGTTAGTGAACCCGTTGCGGAGTAGTCTAGGACATGTAAAGAAAATATATTCATATCCCGAATATTTGCTATAATGTGGTAAAGATAGCGCCCTGGAACAATAGTCAAATTATGGCAAGTAGAAGTGGTCGTAAGGGGGGGGGGTGTGGAAATTAGTGTCTGGAACCAGGTCTCCGTCAATTATAATTTACATAGTTGTATACAAATAGAAGGATTGAGGCCTGCTTGAATATTAATTTAAGTTGATTCTTAGTGAATATAAAACAGGTAAAAAATTACTGGCCTTCTCTAGCATCTTCATGATTATTATTACTATTTGGACTGAAAGACTGCTACTTTTACCCAGAAGAGTAATTGTCAACCAAAGAATAGTCAAAGAAAGTTAAACACAAGACTAAATGAAGCAGAATATCTAGTGGAAATATAGAAGCTGTCAGACCTCATTTTAAATCACCACTAATAAACACAAACATGTAAGAAAAAGACTTAGTTTACTTCGTATCTTTAAACTTGAACTTGTACATCTATATGATAATGGTTTTTGCTTTAGTTGTTTTGATAAAGCTTAAAAATTTTGAAAGATCAGTTTGCATGACTTTAGGAAATTATTTTTTAATCTTTAACTGCTTTTTTTATTTTCGCTTTTGAGACAGGATCTAGCCCAGTCTACCTTTCAGCTCACTATCCTCCCACCTTAGCCTCCAAAGATCAAGAGTTAGAGGTATATACTGGCTCTTTATCAGAGCCAGTGTTACTCTACAAACTCTAAGACACTTAGTGAATATCGTCTTTTTTAATAATTTGGTGTTCACTAAATTGTGTTTCATGGAACATTCACTATTTCTTTGCAAAATGTTACTAGGTCCTTCGTAAAAAAATTGCTAGCCTCATCAGCTCAGGGGTTGACACGAACCTGTCTCTGAGAGGCTATGAGAAATACATCTAGCAGCATTTGTTCCAAATGTTTAGTCTGAATATCATCATGAGGAAACATTTAGACAAATTCAAAATGAGATTTCTTTAAACTTTTCAGCAATGTCAATATCGTGAAATGCAAAGAACAGCAACAAAAAAGACTGTGTTTAAGGCAACTATGACTTCTGGATAGGATTTCGGCTTTTAAAAATTTGGACAGGGGAGTATAATATATTATTGATTTAAATTTCTCAAGAGTAATTCTGACGGTAGAATGTTCCTTTTGTTCTTTGGGGATGTACATTCAGGTATTTAGGATTGAAGTCATGATGTCTATAAATATTTTTCAGATAATCGAGGACACCGCCCCCCAAAAAGGTGTGAAGTGAGAGAAAATAGGGCACTATTTTAACAATTGGTAATTCAGATGACTGTAAATGAGTATTTTTTAAAGCCTCTTCTGTAAGTCTGAAATTTTTCAAAATGAATTGGGAACAAATTGTATCTAGTAATTACAATTAAAAAATCATTTATGCTTACTTCTAAGAAAATTCAAGATATATTTATGTAGTTTTCTTTTAATCTGACATTTAGAAATGGTGTGCCATGTCTAAAACTGTAGGGAGTCACTTGAGAAATGTCGTCATCCTTATAGGTGTAATATCTATCAACTCCGTACACCTGTTAACTATTAGCCAGCCAGAGAAATCCTAACATACGCTAACAATCACTGCTTAGCACTGTATATGTTGCAATAGAAGTTTAATGTTAATGAATTTGTATAATCTGTAAGTATCTTACAGTTTTTAATATTCATTCACCTATTATATGGCTGACACTACACAGGTTCCAGGACCCTGAGGATACCAAAGTCTGAGCACACTCAAGTCCCTTATGCAAGATGGCATGATACTTGCACATAACCTCGCGCATATGTTCCTGTATACTGTAAGTCATCTCTAATGCAGTGTAAATGCTGTGTAAACACTGTATTTAAGGAATAGTAACAAAAAACCATGGGTACATGTTCAGTAGACAGACACAGTTTTGGGATACAGGCCTGCGGTACTAGATTATAGAGATATATCTGTCACTGGTGCAGATGACGTCCCTGCCCACACAGCTTACATTTGTTAGAAGTAAACAAATATATATCAAATGATAGAAGTGCTATGTAGAATAATAAGCTAGAGCTTAAGGGGTAAAGCGTGCCAGATAAGAGTGGACATGTACTGTTCTATAGAGTGAACCAAGAAGGTCTGTGAGGAGGTCATATTTGAACAACCACCTGAGGAAAGGGAGTGAGTTGTGACTGTCCAGGAAGGGACATATTGTGAGAAGTGGGGGCAGCAAGTGCTGAGGTTCCCAGCTGAGAGCAGGTTAGTGTGTTTAAAGAACAGCAAGGAGACCAGAGTGGATGTTACAGGCAAGTGAGAGTGTGTAATAGGAGATGCGTTTAGTGCTGTAGCCAAGAGTTAGATTGTGAATTACATCTAAATCTTAATTAGAATAGGAAAGTCTGAATGCAGTTCATCACCGGACTGTATCTCTTTCCATCTGGACCCATGAAAGTGGAAAATTAGTTCTCTGCTTCCAAAACACGGTGGTAGAACAGGCAGAGGATGGCAATTACAGCCATTTTTGGGGAAAAAGGGAGAAAGTGGAAAAAAGTTACTGGTCCTAGTTTCCAAATCCAACCTGGCAATCTCCATTAAATGTCAAAGTGGAGACATCATTCTCTGTGGTTCTTGGTTCTATTGTGGGCTAGTGGCCCCACCCTCTGGGCAATAAGAATGAGCGTGCTCATTGAGATTTGAGCGTGCTCATTATTCTGCCTATCATGGTCATTATTATTTTCATTACATTTACTATTACTTCATTAGTAATCATTTAAGAATATCTAAAGTATTAGTTCATGTAGTAGTTTTTCAGCACTTAAGTTTCTGGGCTAGCCTCAGTTAAGTGGTTCATTACTTCTGACCTTTAAACAAATACTTGATCAGTGCTTGTGGAGCTCACCATTTTAAGGAACTTTATTGTAAATCACTAAATAGGAAATACAAGTTTGCTGTCTGATTTCTATTAGCTAGAAAAGAATGCAGTCTTTATGTACAGATGAGATTTTCTTGTAGGCACTTCATTTATTCTACCATTATTGATTTTTTCCAGACCCAGAGTACCTGCAGTATGTTTTAATTTTATGAGATAGGGAAAGTTTTACAACTGCTAAGGTCATCATTCTGCACCGTTTAAAGATGAGGAAACCCACTTCTGCCTCCCAGCAGGTGGCAGCAAATCAATACTCAGTAAAATACAGTAAAATCATAATTTTCTTATCTTGGTAAGTGTTTTGGATGTTGCAGACTGGCTTAGCAAGAAGAGCAAAAAGAATATTGGTGCCAATAAAAATAGAAGTCAGTAATTGAGAGCTCTCTGGAAAATCCCCAAATCTCAATAATCGAAGGCATAAATTTTCCAGATTGCTGGTCTCAGAAGTTCAGATTGACACTGAAGACATTTCTGTTCTCTTCTAAGTCAGCCGATTCACGTGGGAAATATAGAAATGATGAGTGTCACATTCTAACCATTTGCATTGATCTGGCACTGCCCTAACATTGGAGTATGCTGGAAGCAGCCGCACATGGCTGTTGAGTATTTTACTGAAACAGTTATAGCATATTTAAAATTCATGAAATTGTTCCCATTTCTTGCTTTCCTTCCCTTACAGACTGAAAATACTGATGAAAACTCTGGGAACAAAACAGTGGATATAGTTGACAAAACAAAATCTGTTCCTGGACAGCTTCTGATAAATTTAAAAAGTGTGAAGATAATGAACATAGATTACATTTGCATAATGGCATAACAAAAATGTATTGGACAATGCAAACTATGGGGAAATTGCATTTGGAAACTGAATTAAGATTCTGATTCTGGCAAGATGACTAATGATGAATGGTTTTATAGAGGAGGAGGAACTACCTCCTGTGTTTTCCTCTAACTGATTTTAAATGTCTGTGATGGTTGATTGATTGTGTCAACTTGAAAGAAAAGCTCAACTAAATTGGCTCAGCAGTTCTTCACTCTAGGGCATGGAAGATCCACCCTACGTGGCATGTCACCTGAATTGAATAAAGGGGAAGTGGAGAAGGACGGAGCTTCGGAGGAGCCCACCTAGTCTTTGCATCACCTTGGATGACATCTGGCTTCCAACACAGACTCTTCAGCTTCTGGTACAGATCATTCAGCCTTCCGGGTAGACTCTTAAGCCTTCCGTGGCAGACCCACTAATTTCATGATATGTTGCATAGAACACTGCAGCGAGTTCCAAACATTCAGCTGGATCCTTCAGTCTCCAGTATGCAGACAGACCATCTGCACTCTTTCATATCCGACACTGGGTGACCACTGTAAGCCAATTTTGTAAATTCTTATGTACTTGTATATCTTGTATTATATCTGTTTCTCTAGTAAACACTGACAGATACAATATCTTTCATCCTCATATTCTAATAAAGTAATTAGAATTCCGTTTTAATTTTCCAACATTTGGATTTGTCCTAAATGTGTCCCTTCCAAGGATTTATGAAAGTATAAATTTCTCCTTAATAGATCTTTGAGAGAATTTGGGATTTATAAATCATTTTTAATGTTAAAAGTACTTTTTAACTGAAAAAGATTATAAGTTATTTCTCCATGTGACTTTGACTGTCAATTATGGCTTAATTTAACACAATCAAATTTCACTTTGTAAGTGGAGTTCAAAAAAACCTCTGCTAGATGTTTCCTTTCTTTTTTTTAAGCATTTTTATTAAATTGTATTCCCTATTTCTGTTTTTCAGTTTTAGAACTTTATATTAGTACTGGTCCTTCTGAAAAAAATTATATAACTTTAGTATATTATAAAATCTCAGATGTCTTTTCTGAAACTCTATTCTGGGTTTCTATAAAGGGGAAACCAAATGTGGTCTGTTAACAGTTTATCACAACTGACAACTGTTTGATGGCCATTGTGCTCGCTGTATCGTGCTATTAATTGTTCCCCTCAGCACACCTGTGAAGTACATGCTGTTGGAGTTCCATTTTACATACGAGGAAACAAAATAACCAGTATACCCAGCATAATATGGTAATGACAGCTTGGCTTTGAGCTCAAGTTGACTCCAGTGTGTACATCCTTAATCATTGATGTTTCCTACCCCCTATTTTGCTGTGTGTTTGCTAAAGCAAAAGAATTATTTGGGAACCTCACCTCTCCAATTTCAGCATTATCTTTCTATAAGTTGTCATATACTATAATGGCACCCCCTTGGCGAACTTCCCAACGCGATACCCAATTTCACCACAAGATGGTGCTAATGAAGTGAGAAGCCAGGTGCTGCTAGTATTTGAGGTTAGGCTCAGACCTATATTTAAATATGAAAAGAATGTAGTTAAAGGTGTTTAAGAATGTAAAAAGAGCAGTCCTAAAGTGTTATAAAGCATTTTTAAAACATAAGGAATGAAAAGATCACAACTACAAAAGTGTAATTGACTCGTGGAAGTTAATAATAAGATAAAAGATGAGCCTTTGTATTCATAAGTACATATATGGCACAGATGTCAGAGACTTTCCACAGGAAGGAAAACACCAAAGGAAATGAACTAAATGACAGCAGGTGACAAAAACAAAATGAGGCCAGCTGTACAGTGATGTCGTTTCAGGGTCAAATGGATAAGTGTTCCAGTAAGATTCCATAGTAAGCGCAAGTGGATTAACAAAAGCCAATTACTAAAAGACTTTAGAGCATGCTTTAATAAATTTTTCCCTGCAGGTACAGGAAAAGGTTGTAGAAAAAAAGTGTTGCTTCTCAGAAATAATTAGAGCCAGTCCTTACATATTCTGTTATTACAGTGATGCCCAAGGTTCAATCCCTGGATCAGCAGCACCAACATAGCCTGAGGTTGTTAAGACAAGTTAATTTCCCCCAAAATTTTCAAGTGATTTTCCCCCTTGTTTAATAATTTATTAGCTATTGTTTGTTATTTTTTAGAGGTTGTTACACATGCAGATTCTGTGCTCCCACTCTAGACTTCGTGAATCAGAAATTCAGGAAATGCAGTCTTTCTCGTGCTTAGATGGACCCAAAAGCTTGAGATCCACTGTCGCTTAATAAGAAAAATAAAATTCATTAAATATTATTAATAGTACAAAGATATTAGAAACCACAGTATAATGTAAAGGAATATTAAGTAAATAATGATATCCTTGCAGTTAAACATGATTCTGTTAAATAATTTTTAATAATGGAAAAGGCATAAAATTGATCTCACTTATGTAAAACGATTATAGAAAAAGACCAAAAGGACAACAAGCAAAACTAGTTAACAGTGGTTGCCTTGGAGTGATGCGATTATACACATATTTTCCCCCCTACTTTATATTACATACTGCTTCTCAGAAGTCATTGTATGCATTTAAATGGCTGTTGGGTGGTAGAGCCTGGTGAGAAGAGGTAAGTCCCCCAAAACAAGACCTAGAAGGATTTATCTCCCTCCCTGGCTCCTCCCTGCACTTTCCTTGTCAGCCACGTCTGTGCCTTGAACAGCTTTCTTCTACCCTGCTGTTTCTGCATTTATACCTGCCACCCATGGACTGAAACTTCTGAACAATGTGTTGAGTATTGTGTCTCAGTGATGAAAAGGTTACTAAGACACAGGGCATTACAAACCTAGGAAAATGTTTTAAAAATCCAAGACTACATCCTTTAAAAAATAACAAATAATAACTAATAAATTATTAAACAAGGGGGAAAATCATTTGAAAATTTGGGGGGAAATTATCTCAAGTCTTAAGCAAAAAGGAAATAAAAAGTATAATTATCGATATTTTAGGGGAAAACAAAACTGAAGGAGTGGATATGAAGATATACTTTAAAAAGTAGAATCCATTATTTTAAAAAGCCTAAATTGAACTAAATCTTTAGTTCTGTGAATCAGAAAAATAGTCCCTTTCCCACTCCCCAAAATCATGAGAAAGTAAAATAAAAAATTTAAATTAAAAAAAAAGTACGAAATAAAAGCCATTGCAGATACAAGTTGTGTCTTTGGATAAAAAATAACACAAACACCCTGAAAAATTTTAAGAAACACACACCAACATAAACCTAATACTTTAGGAATAAGAAGTGGGACAGAAACACTGATAAAATTCTTAACTATGAAAGAAGACCTTTATTTCCAGTAGTATGGCAGTCTGAGTCATTTATTCCAGCCCTTCCTGCTAGAAGGAAGAATAACTTGAAAAGGATGAGTAGTGCATGGAAAACAGTCTTTAAAGCAGTAAAGATATAACAATACAGTATGGAATTTCCAGAACAAAATTTAAATAGAACAGGGACCCCAGAAATGCTAACAGGGTGCTTATATTGCAGTTGTCCTGGAAGCATTTACTAAATGAAGCAAAAGTTTGGCTTTTGTCATTGTAGATTGTAAACAACGGAAATCAAAGTCCAGGACTTATTCAAGGTGAAGATCTAGAAGGAGATCCTTCTCCCACAAAGATGTAAAAGGGATATTCCTTCAGGATAAGATGAACCAGGTGTTTCTGAATTGATAGTTTCTTTGAACCAAGCAAAGGCAGAGACAGTTTCACTTTAGTGTTCTAAAAATCCTCAAAAATAATTTTCCAAGGGAAAACAAAATCAATTCACAGTCAAGAGTAAGCAAGCAACACCAGGAAACAAGTCACCATGAACAAGAACCAGCAAAAACAACTGGCAGCAGAAACAAATGTATGATGAATTTAGGTATTAGACTGTTTGACTTAATAAAATTACTATGCTTTTAAAAATGAAAAGTAAAATCTTTAGGGAATAGGAAACTATAAAAAGAAACATATTTGTAGCAGAACATAGCAGAACTTGGAGAAATGAAAAAGATAATTGAAATATAAAACTCAGTGGAGGGCCGGGATATAGCTCAGCAGCACAGCACCTGCCTGGAAAGTTCAAGGTCCTGAGTTCGATTCCTGGTACCAAAAAAAACTTAGTGAATGGAGTTAACAGTGCATACGAAGCAGTTTAAAATTTGTATCTAAGATAGGTGAGAAGAAATTACTCAGGATGCAGAGTTACAAAAAAGTTGGAGAGTATATATAAGGGAGAGTTTATATAATGTGGTAGAGTTACACATGTAAGAGTTCCAGTTGACAAGGAGACTGTTAGGAAGTAGATGTAATTGGCTGAGAATTTTCCAGCACTAGTGAGAGGCAACCAAAATAAATCTACACCTGGATACATATTATAACTGCAGAAAAACAAGGAGTTAAGATTTAAAAAGAGGCCTATGGTAGGGGTTGATTATTTTCACAGGAGCCTCAGACTGGTTGCAAACAATAAAAGTCAAGAAGTAGTGTAATGTCTTTAATATGTTAAAATAACTGATCTAAAACTCTTTATCAAATAAAATTGTTTTTCAAGAATGCAAGTAGACATGTTTTAAGGCAAGAAATATGAAGAGAGTTTGCCACTATTGCAAAACCCCCAAAACAAGATGTAATTTGAAGTGGAAAAAGTGCTTTGGAAGGAACAGTCTGTTTGCAAAAGGAAGAAAGGGGCAAAGGAAAGGCTAAGTGTATAGCTAATATGAAAAAGCATCAAGTAAGGACAAAAATAATTACACCAAAAAAAATCTCAAAATGGACAAAAGACTTCAGTGTAAGACCAGAAATTACAAAACTAGAATTGAACATTAAGGGGGAAACTCCTGAGCATAAGCCTTGGTGATGTTTCTTTTGGAGATCACACCAAAAGCACAGGCTAAAACACAAAAATTAATAAATAAATGAAACTTAGAAACTTCTGCGGAGGAAAGGAAGCAGCCAACAAAATGAAACAGCAGCCTGCAGACTGGCGAAAAAATTCACTTGGCAAACCATCTACATTATGTTCTCATCAATGGTTCAACTTACAATTTTTCAGCTTTTTAGTGCACTCTTTGTCTACTGGTGTAACTTCATTGTAAGTTGAAGAGCATCTGCATCTAATAACAAATACTCAAATTTTATGAAGAACTCATACAACTTAATAGGACAAAAACAAATAACCCGTTAAAAATGGGCAAAAAACTTGAATAGACAATTCTCAAATACAAAACATAAAATAAAGCATAAAAATGGACAGAAGGGACATGAAAAGGTGCTCAGCTTCATTAATCTTCAAGGAAATGCAAATCAAAACCACTAGAGATAGCATTTCACACCTGTTATCCAGCTGTTATCAGAAGTCAGAAGTAACTAACGGTTGGCAAGGATGTGAAAGAAAAAGAACTCTTCAACTATGTTGATGGGAATGTAGTTGGGTATCACCATTATAGCATAGAGTATGGAGATTTCTAAAGAAATGACCCAGAAATCCCTTTTCTGGGCATATATCCAAAGGAAGTGAAACCATCACTTTAAAAATACTTGTACTCCCATGTTCATGCAGCCTTATTCACAGTGGCCAACACGCAGAAAGAACCTGTGTCCATGAGAAAATGGATGGATAAAGACACTAATGTTTTTACACACATACACACACACACACCATATAATTCAGCTACAAAAAAAAGACCAGCCACAAAATAGATGAACCTGGAGGACCTTATGCTAAGTAAAATAAACCAGGCACAGGAAGAAAAATATTGCACAATACCACTTATATGTGGAATCCGAAGAATTCAAATATACAGAGATAAAGAATAAAATAGTATTTACCAAGGACAGCCATGTGAGTGGGGAGGAAATCTGGAGATGAAAGTCAGAGAACACAAAGGTAGCAGATACATTGGCTAAAGAAATCTAGAGATCAAACATAGTTAGTAAAACTGTAGTTGATTTGAGGTTCATGGTAATTGAACAAAGTTGAGTTGCTCTTGCCACAAAAACAAAAAATGTGTATATGAGACAATAGGTATGCAAATTTTCTTCACTACAGTGACATTTTTCTGATCCATATGTATCTCATAACATCCATTGTATAGCAAATATATGCAATAAACATTATTCTAAAATAATAAAAATATTGTCTAGTAGAGTAAAAATAACATAGAGTTAAAATGTATAAAAATAATAAAATGTAATTTTTAAATAAGCAAATAGACCTGAGGTGCTGTGAAGATTGTTGTGGTAAATATATTAATTAATTTTAGGCTTCAATAAGTTAAGTGTTCATGTTGTAATTTCTATGTCAAACAATAAGGGAAAATAAAGTGATAAATACTGTGACAAAAATAACTCATTAAACCCAAAAGAAGATCCAAGAATAGAGGGGGGAAAAATACACACAAATCACAAGATAAACTGGTAGGTTTAAATGGTTTACATAAACCTTTATCAATTAGCATTTACATTTAATGTAAATGGGTCAAATGGTCTAGTTGAAAAACAGATTGTCAGATTATTTAGAATCAAAGTTATATGCTGTTTTCTGTTGACACACTAAAAACATAAGTGAACAGAAATGTTAAAATTGGGAAAGTTGGTAAATTCAAATAAAATACATGGATCAGTTGATAGTATAGTGCTAATGCTGATTTCCTGGTTTTGATTGTAGTACAATGATTATATAAGATGTTATAAACAGAAAAAACTTGGAGAACTGTATACAGGAAAGCTCTGCCATTTTTACAACTTTTCTATAAGTTTAAAATTATTTCAGAATAAAGTTGAACATATGCAAGCTTTAGGATATTCTAATATGCTCCTACATGTGTAACATAGAGAAATATTTGTTAATGTGTGCTTGGAGAAATATATAAAAATGTTCATAGAACTATACTGTACTAGGAAGAAACCAATGCCAATTAACAGTAAAATAGGTAAACTGTGATATTTTCAAACAATTATGAAGTAATGAAGATAACTATTATCACATGGAACTGATGAATCACAAAATATAATATTCAATAAAAGAAGTGAAATATGCCACACGATTTCATTTACACGAAGTAAATAAGCAAAAATAAGCAGATGGGACTGTAATATTTAGGACCATACTTGGGTGAAAAAACTAAGAAGATACAGTAGAAAACTGATTATTTAAAAAGTCAATATGCCTATCTTTCAGACCTGGAGGGTGTAGCGTTAGAAAGCAGGATGAAGGAAGCTTCTAAATTGCTGACTGTGGTCTATTTCATCACGTAGGGAGTGGTTACTTGACCCGTTTTATAACTTTTAATAACTTATTAATCTGTAAGATGTATTTCTTGTATTTTTGAAGATATGATGTATTTCACTTTTGAAAGATTTGTTTGTTTGTCAAGGTCTCTGACCACAAGTCAATTAAGCTAAGAAGTCAATAACAAAGCAGCAATACAAAATCCTCATATATTTTCAATGGATAAAAGCAATAATAATGAAAACTAAACTGTATCATGGACTGAATAGTAATGAAAATACTACATAACTAAAATGGGATCCCAGTATGCTATGTGCAGAAGGAAATTTTCTGCCCTAAGTGCTTAGTATAAGAAATGATAAAAGGCTTCAAAATTAATGTTATGCAGCTTCTCAAGAAGTTTGAAAAGTCAAGCTTGAGCACACCTGATAGCTAAATCCAAAATCTGAAATACTCCAAAATTTGAAACATATTGAGCACCAATATGATGCCACAGGTGGAAGATTCCACATTTGACCCCGTGTGATAGGTTGCAGTCAAAATACAGTTGTACTGAAAATGTATAAAATTATCTTCAGAGTGTGTCTATAGTGTATATCAAACATATATAAATTCTACATTTATACTTGGGACCCACCTTCAAGATGTTATGTGTATGCAAATATTCCAAAATCTGAAAAAAATACATCCCAAATCTGAAATACCTCTGATTCCCAGCGTCTTGGATAAGGGGTTCCCAACCTGTACCAATAAAATAAACCCATAGAAAGTAAAAGAATAAGGAAACTAACATAAATAGATGAAATAGAAAATAGTACAGTGAAGAGGAACAGCAAAGGCAAAAATTGGATCTTCAAAAGGACTAATCTCTGATGACAGTGATCAGAAGCAAAGAGTTATAAATATACAAGTTAGCAGTACACAAAAGTAACAATAACGTATAAGGGGTTATATGGGAAGGACATCATGAAAACTTTCATGTCAGTGCATTTGAAACTTTAGATGAAGGGCACAAGTGAATAGCGAAGATGTAATTAAGAACAACTGACACACAAAAAGAACCAGAAAGCTCAAACATTTGAGACACGTACATACTCAAAATGTATTTGCTGTTTATCTGAAATTCAAACTTAAGTAATTATTTCTATTATTTTATCTGGCTACCTAATCTAACCCTGAGTGCATTTTGAATTTCTAGAGCTTTGATGGCTACATTACCGCAATTATTTCAGGATTAATTCTTAACTCTGACTGCAGATTATAATTAATTAGGGAGCTGGAGAGTGAGGAGTGGAACCTGTACATCAGTAATTTTTTACAACAACCTTCTCACTACTGTCTCATGATCCAAATATGCAGTAAGTGTATAAGATCTGATTAATGTTTTTAGGAGCTTAAATGTTTTTTGATTTTCCATAAAAAATGAACACTCCATATTTCTGAATTACCATAACCTATTTTAACACACTGTCTTGATAGTTATATGTACAATCTGACTTGATCACATTATTTTACAGACAGCCTATTTAAAAAAAAAAAAAAAACTACATTTCTTTAGAAATGTTTGACCTACTTGTATTTTCCTTTTCATTCCAGAGGAAAAAAATCACTCAAGATCATGATGATACAAAAGCAAGCAAAAGCTCTTCCCTAAGCTGAGATAAAGAGTGATACACTGTATTTTTAAAATTGTGTTTGGTGATGGACTAATTTCAAAGAAAACAATTTTGAAGGAGTCTATTAAAGGTATGAACTGTCTCCCTAAAGCATAATTCAGTATTTATCAATTCTTTGTGTATTTTTGCTGAACTTGGAAAGACTAACTTTGGTCGCAGATGACTAATACTCAACTGTCTATGATTTAAAAAATTCTAGTCCCCTTCACACCAAATTTAAATACACTAATTTTGTTTCTTTTCAATTTTGCAAGAAAGGAAAACAATGAACTGAGGAATGCTTCTTTTTTGAGCTTATGCACTATTTCACCTTGTTGGAATAAATGAGAAGTACCTGTTGATATTAAGGGAACACCACTGATTATGTTTGCTTGTCTTCCTACTGATAATGTGGGCAACTGCACAGGTAAAAGGATCAAAAGTTGTAGGTTTAACAGTCCTACATTTTGTAGGCTATTTGGACTGTCCTTGGGATATCAGCCAATATCTAAAAAATGGAGTCTTCTGGAGAATGTCTGCTGGCCACCCAGACTAGGACACTGGAATCACTGCATGAGCATGACTATGCCACACCCCAACCAGACCAGCCCTTTAGCTTTGCAGCTCACAAGGTGATTTTCAGCCTCTCAGGTGAAGACACATGTTAGGCACACTCACAGAGACTGCTGTATGTGATCTGAACACGTGTTTATAACACATGCTTGTCAGAAATTCTTTTTTTTTTTTTTTTTTTACCTAGAATAAAACTCCGGACCTCATGCTTGCCAGGCAGGCATTGCTCCAGAGCCAAATACCTGGCCCCAGTAATTCTTTCTATAGGCAGTGTCCCATCTGAGGCCAAATTTTGATCTGAAGAGAAGTAGGATGATATCAGTGGCTGGTGTCATCCATATAACACCTGCTTACCAGCTCCATTTTAGGGTCTATTTTCTACATTGCTGATCATCAGTCCTAATTGATACAGTTTTTCACACAAGATTAAACAGCCAGGTGTTATTGCTCAAAGGTATATGTATATGTATATTCTTCATAAGCATTTTTAATAGTTTAAGAGTTTAGTCATATTTTTCTCTGTACTCTGAGGAGGAACCATCATCTCTAGATTTAAACTTTTATACATTTATATAAGAACAGAAGTCTTTTCTGTCCCATTTACATCCCCCCAACCAATATCCAAGGAGAGTGGCTGGAATGGAGAAGCACCAAAAGAGATGAGAAGAGAAAACAAAAATGAATAAAAAGACAAATGAATGTTATCCGTGGGTACTCCCATACTATACAACTATTATTATAAAAATAACATATCCTAAGTATCTTTGTTAGCTTTTCAAAACTGTGACAAAGTACCTGAGAGACTCAGAGGAGGAACAGTTTATTTTAATTCATAGTTTTAGAAACTGAAGTCCATGGTTGGCTGGCTCCATTAATTTTGGGCCTGTGGTGAGGCAGAACATCATGGCAGGGAGCACTTGGTGGAGCAAAGCTGCTAAACTCATCATGACCAGGAAGCAAAGAGAAAGGAAGAGGCTAGGGTCCATATATCCCCTTCAAGGGCAACTCACCAATGACCTGACTTACTTCCATTCAGCTCCTCCTAAAGATTCACCACCCCCTAACAGTAGCAACCAAGCCTTGAATACAATTCATTTGGAGAGCACTGACGGCACTCTACCACTGAGCTACATTCCAGCCCTACACACATCCTGTATTGTTCTATCTGATCGTTCTTTTCCTTGAGCACTTGCCACAATTGGTAGTTTGCAGTTTACTTGTGTTTATTTATTTAAAGTCTGAATTTTGTGCTCTGGGAAGGCAGGGGCTATATCTGATTTATATATAGCCTGTATCTATAGTCTGCCTTTATGCTATGAGTTCATTATTAGTAAATAGGGTTTTATGAGTCACATCTACCCTACAAGGATAGGAGGACTAAATAATGACTTGGGAACTTTAAATGATGGGCTATCTTGGAAGGCAGGCAGTCATCATCCTGAGATCAATATGATGCCTACAGGCATATGCTGATCCCACATAGACTATGGATTTCCAGCATTCTCAGGTTAACTCTAGGACAAAAGACACAGAATTCATTCTGTAAGTTTGAGACTTGGTTTATTATATTTTTTTAAAAATCTAGTAATCAGTAATCACTGTATTGTTAAAAGCTGTTCATCTCAGCTAACAATGGTGCATTTTGCCTTGCCTATTGAATTTTATACATTTAAATCTATTTATATCTACTAATTTTACATTTTTAAATTTTGTCTTATGATAGCTGATTCACAGAAATAATTTAAAACAGTAATAATAATTGTAAATAGGACAACACTGTAAATATAAACAGTGAGCAGAAACCCAGTGTGAATATGGAATGTGAAGCTGTATTCACTAGAATGGGTGAATCTTGATGAATATGGAAAATTAGATTTGATCAGACCAGCAATCAATTTGCTTCTCCTATCCATTGCATTGTCTGCTGCCAAACTTTGTAAAAGAATGGCAAGAAGCCATGGAGGTTTTGCATTGCTTTCAAAGTACTCTGACCTTTCTGATAAACCAATTGAGATTTTCTTGTACAAGCATAAAATAATGCTTTCAAACACAAAACGGATAAATTCTTGTCACTTAAAGATGCAGAAGACACCAAAACTAAAGAAACAGTATTCAAAGTTGTACTCCAGAAAATAAAACATGGAAGTCACACAATCACTAAGAAGTTTATAAAACCAACTGCAACAGTAACGATGATTACTGTGCTCAGAAAGAAACTTTAATAAGCTACTGGAAATTTCATAATCCAAATGAACACCATACATTATATAACATGAATGGCACACAGCACAGAAAAGCCATGTTTTGCAGGAACGCATGCTATAGTGGATATTAAAAGCACAAGTGGGCAGAGGATCTGGTACTTGGCAGAAATATATGAAAGACATCAATACAGGCAATGCCATGGGCATATCCAGCACCTTCAAACATCCTGCCTCTATTCATTCATGCTTCAATTTTCCCATCCTTGACTGAGGACCTGAGCCCAGGGGAGAATCTCTCTTCTCCTTGGGACATTTCTTGTCAAGGACCTCATCCTTAGAAAATTCCACACAAAAGAAAGGAAGAAAGAAAAGAAAAAGAAAACTATGAAAGAGAAATGCTCATCAATTTATTGGCTAGATTATGGCCCCAAAGCCCTATTCAAGAGGTTTTTCGTGTATTTAACAATCGTCTTGTGAGCCATGACCAAGGCTGCCAAGCCACTCACAGCAGTAATGATGAAATGTGAACAAGCAAGTGTTTACTACTTGGGTAAAAAGAGCTGTCCCTTTATCCATTATTTTATTCCCAGAAAGCAGAAGGTGAAAGTAGTTCATACATTCAAAGTGTAGCCACCAAGAATCTCTTTTAAGCATGCTTTGTGAAGAAATTGGCAACAAGTGTATGCTGCTTTTCCCACACAGAAGTAAGCTGTTTCTGGAAGTGAAAAGTGTTTACACATGTTTTGGAAACCGAGAATAAGACAAAAGCCTTCCTTCATGACACCAGTAATATTATTTTTTTGAAAAGTAGTTTTTTTCAAGGCATATCTCAGTGATAGAGTTTATTATTCAGTAGCCTCAATGAAGTCAGAGTATAAATTTCATCATTTTAAATGTAGTGGATATTGGGGTTTCTTAAGAAGACTCAGCTATCTTAAACAAGAAGTATGATTTTGACGCTTGAATTTTTTTGTTAGCTGGAGAAAGTAATGACATTATAGAATATATAGAAATCAATGACATTATAGAAT